CAGGCCTGGTGGTGATGAAATCTCTGAGCCATTGCTTGTTTGTAAAGGATTTTATTTCTCCTTCACTTATGAAACTTTTAGTTTGGCTGGATATGAAATTCTGGGTTCAAAGTTCTTTTCTTTAAGCATGTTGAATTTTGGTCCTTACTCTCTTTTGGCTTGTAGGGTTTCTGCTGAGATCTGCTGTGAGTCTGATGGGCTTCCCTCTGTGGATGACCCAACCTTTCTCTCTTGCTGTCCTTAGCATTTTTTCCTTCATTTCAACCTGGTGAATCTGACGATCATGTGCCTTGGGGTTGCTCTTCTTGAGGAATATCTTTGTGGTGGTCTCTGTGTTTCCCGGACTTGAATATTGGCCTGCCTTGCTAGGTTGGGGAAGTTTTCCTGGATGATATCCTGAAGAGTGTTTTCCAGCCTGGATTCATTCTCTCTGTCACATTCAGGTACACCTATCAAACGTAGATTTGGTCTTTTCACATAATCCCTTATTTCTTTTTATTCTTTTTTCTCTAATCTTGCCTTCCCGTTTTATTTCATTGAGTTGATCTTCAATCTCTGATATCCTTTCTTCTGCTTGGTCAATTTGGGTATTGAAACTTGTGTTGCTTCACGAAGTTCTCGTGTTGTTTTTCAACTCCATCAGTTCACTTATGTTCCTCTCTAAGCTGTCTATCCTCGTTAGCATTTCATCAAACCTTTTTTCAATGTTCTTAGCTTCTTTGCATTGGGTTAGAACCTGTTCTTTTAGCTCAGAGAAGTTTCTTATTACCCACCTTCTGAAGCCTGTTTCTGTCAATTCAGACTCATTCTCCATCCAGTCTTGTTCTCTTGCTAGTGAGGAGCTGTGATTCCTTTGAGGAGGACGGGCATTCTGATTTTGGTGTTTTCATCCTTTTTATATTTGTTTCTTCCCATCTTTGTGCATTTATCTCCCAGTGGTCTTTGTAGTTGTGACTTTCAGATGGGGTCTCTGAAAGTGGACATCCTGTTTACGGTGAAGTTATTTCTTTCTGCTGCTTAGTTTTCTTTCTAACAGGCCCCTCTGCTGCAGGACTGCCGGAGGGCCACTCCAGACCCTGCTTGCCTGGGGATCACCTGCAGTGCCTGCAGAACAGTAAGAGTTGCTGGCAGTTTCTTCTTCTGCTATCTTTGTCCCAGAAGGATACCTGCCAGATGTCAGCCTGAGCCTCTCCTTTATGAGGTGACTCTTAGTATATACGGGGGTCAGGGAGCTGCTTGAGGAGACAGTCTGTCCTTTATAGTAGCTCAAGTGCTGAGCTGTGAGCTCCGTTGTTCCATTCAGAGCTGCTGGGCAGGTACGTTTATGTCTGCTGCAGCAGAGCTCATAATCGCCTTTTTCCCCCATGTGCTCTGTCCCAGGAAGGTGGGGCTTTATTAATAAGTTTCTGTCATGCTGCTGCCTTTTTTCAGAGATGCCCTGCCTAGTGAGGAGGTAGCATAGTCTGCCAGCAGAGACATTGCTGAGCTGCCATGGGCTTTGCCCGGCTGCTGTGTGAACTTCCTTGCAGTTTTGTTTATAGGGGTATAGTCAGAACTGCCTCGGTAATGGTGCTCTGCCTCTGTAATGGTGGACAGTCTCAGTAGTGGCAGACACCCTTCCCCTACAGAGTTGGACTGTCCCGCGTCCACCTGTGCTTGCTGTGAAACTCTCAATCCAGAGCATTTCAGATTGCTGGTCTTTGTCAGGGTGGGACTGACTGATCCAGATCACCTGGCTCCGTTTCAGTTCCCTTTTTTCTCAGTTGCATGAGCAACTCTGTCTCCCAGGTGTTCCAGTCACCAGTTGAAAAGGCACCCAGATTTGTGTTTTTGTGTGGAGACCCACTGTGCCGGCTAAAACAGCTGCACTGGGGGCTTGTGGTGCTTTCCCACCCAGGAATCTCCTGGCCTGGCTCTGTTTCAGTCCTCTTTTTATCAGTCGAATGGGTGACTCTGTCTCCTAGGCATTCCAGTCACCAGTTGAAAAGGCACCCGTATTTGTGTGAGTGTTCATGTGGCGACCCCGTGTGCCGGCTGCAACAGCCACACCTGGGGCCTGTGGCGCTTTTCCACCCAGGAATCTCCTGGCCTGGCTCTGTTTCAGTACCGTTTTTTTCATTTGAAAAGGTGCCTGGCTTTGTGTGAGTTTTTGTGTGGAGACCCACCGCGCCAGCTGAAACAGCAACGCTTGGGGCTTGGGGCGCTTTTCCATCTGGGAATCTCCTAGTCTTTGGGCAGTAAAAATTTGTTTGGAAATGCAGTAATCACTCACCCTCTTCATTTTCGCTGGGAACTGCAATCCAGAGCTGTTCCTATTCAGCCATCTTGGATCTATTAAGCACTTGTTACAGCCCCTTTATCTTAGACTACCAGAGCCAGTACATGTTTAAATCTTAAAAATCATAAAAATAGATAAATGCCTTAAACATCTATTTTAAGTTAAATGTAACTATAAATCCACTCAACAACTGATGTTGGATGTTTCAGGTATTTTAAAGTGGGGGGAAACTGGATTCTGCTTTCATCCTTGCTTTTAATATTTGTCCAGTCTTTTAGTTTTTTTTACCCACACCCAATTTAACCACTTTTTGGCTGGGGATGAGCTGAGGGGAGCAACTAGCTTTTTTTAAAAGTGTTTCTAATGCATTCAACCTAGCTTTCAAATAAAACTAGAAGTCTTTTATACTCAGTTTATAAACTGCTAAATATTTAACTAAATTATATAATTAGTCTAAGTAAAACAAACAGGCTCAATGACCACTGCTACTAGCCTTTTTTAAGCATGCAGTTGATCATCTGGTGAGACAAAAGCATATGGTTGGTTAGAGAATAGCCTTCTAGCCATAGCTTTCTACCATGTGATAAGCAAGTATGACTATCAGCTAGTTTTACTAAGTAAAAATTGGTTAAGAGTTGAGAGTTGTATGTATGAAACACCATGTAAATTTCTTGCATTATCTCTTAATCCTTACAACATCCCTAATACATAATTATGTTAATACTTGTGTTTTGCCTTTGAGAAAACTGAAATATAAAGGTAAATGTTTTACAAAAGGTTGCATAGCTAATAAATAAAAGAACCCCAAACATTCTAATGTATGCTTTACCTTTTCATCACAAGTCCAAGTCCAAAAAGGTTAATTTTCTAGAGTACTAAGCTCCAGTTTGGTCCATGATCACAAACTGTACCTTGAAATCTTGACCTGTTATCTTCAAAGTAAGTGCTATGGCATGAAAATATGGGAGATTAATATAAGTCTACTGCTTGGAACAATTCAAAGGGTAAGAAAGCTCAGTCACTCCAAAGCATCAAGTCCATACAGTTAAAGATAACCAAATATTCCTGTATTAGTTTCCTATTACTGTGATAACAAATCACCACAAGCTTAGTGCCCTAAAACAACAAAAATACATTATCTGTCGCTCAGAAGTTTGACACAGGTCTCATGGGGCCAAAACCAAGGTGTCAGCAGGACTCTGTTCCTTTCTGGAGGTTCCAGGGAGGAATCCATGTCCTTACCTTTTCTAGCTTCTGAAGGCCATTCACATTCCTTGACTTGTGACCCTTCTTGCCCCTACCTTCAAAGCCAGTAGTTGATCTCTCTTACCACTCATTGGTAAGCACATCGCCCAACTCTGAACTTTCTTCCCTCCTTCTTCCACTTTTCAAAACCCTTGTGATCACATTGGGCTCACATGGATAATACATGCTAATCACCCTACCTCAATAAAAAGAGCCTTAAAGCCTTGGCACAGCTTTGGGCCACAGTCAGTTCCTGTTCAGCTACATTAACTGTTACGTTTTTAGAAGGCGTTTTCACAAGGTGATGTGACTCAAAGTAAGTCTCACCAAATTTCACACACAAGGTTCTAACATATGCACATGTGTTTGTTACAGAATGTAATTTAGATACTACAGTAACCAAATTCAAGATACTAGACAAAAATTAGTAATTTTCATTAAAGCTTTCTATTTCAGACTCCTCCTGAATGTGCTGTTTTAAATAACTAAAACATTAAAGGGACTGTTTCATAAGAACTATCAGTACATTTTTTACATGTCATGTTTATCCTATCTAATGGCTTTATTTCTGGTATGTCTTCCAAGGTTGTTACCCCTCCGTGTGGGATAGGTAATGAATTCAACTGTCTTTCATTCCCTAAAAGTTTTTTAAGTTTTTATCTAACATATTAATTCAATGGGAAAAAACTCACAAAAGTGCTTTCAAGCACTCACAGTGGTGTCTAAGCCACTATTAACTGAAAAAGCTGCTGTATTTAAAAAACTACTAGTTTCTTTAAAAACTTAGAAAACATAATGGAACTCCAAAAAGAGCTATGAATTAATAAACCTCTGATTATAAAAGTGATAAATTCCACAGTAAGACAATTAAAAAGGCAACATTAATAGTACATACCCTTTATTAAGTACCTGTGTCTGGCCCTTTGCTCTTATCTCATTTCATCCTTATAACCTGCAAGGTAAGTTTATCTTTTTACTTACAAAGAACTGGGTAACAAACACTAAGCAACCTGCCATGTACCACAGAGCTTCGTAAATGTTGGAGATTTGAAGCCCAGTGTGACACATTTCAAATCTGTTTTTATTTGCTAAATATAGTTAAACATTTGATTATATTCTTATGTTTCTATTTTTATTTAAAAACTGACCCAGAGAGTTGGAAATTTTTAATAGTGAAATTTTGTTCTCTGGCATAAAATATTTCAAAACTAGCATTTGGTCAGGTAAAACACTGATAGAGTTAAGATTCTTATTAGAATATTTTACAAAGATAAGGTAAACAAATTTGGCATCTATTTTTAATTATTTTAGGTAAAATATTACTTTAAATTGAAACTTCAGGTCTTAGGCAGATCCTTGAGTCTGCACAAAGGCATCATTCAAAGATAATAAGGCAATAACTGACTGAGGAAGACTAACTTGAAGAGTTTGAAAGGTGAAAAAATACTTTTTACATATTTTCTGTTTTCTGTTACAGGAGATGAGTATGATGTATGTGCCATTTGTCTGGATGAGTATGAAGATGGAGACAAGCTCAGAATCCTTCCCTGTTCCCATGGTACGAGTAATTACATACTGCTTTGAATTTACATACAGCAATTTATATTTAGGTTCTATATTCCAGGGAAAGAGACAGAAAGTAGTTATTAGCACACCATAAGTCAGGCCCTGTACTAAGTAGTGGTCTCATTCAAGGATGGAGGTTTATTTATAAAGATTATAAACTTTCTTCTCCTTTCCCTACATGTTACATACAGAATAAGGCAAGAGATTAAATATAAAATTCTCAGCCACAGCATACTAACTAAAGATGTGTATTTTGCTTCAACAGCTTATCACTGCAAGTGTGTAGACCCTTGGCTAACTAAAACCAAAAAAACCTGTCCAGTGTGCAAGCAAAAAGTTGTTCCTTCTCAAGGTGATTCAGACTCTGACACAGATAGTAGTCAAGAAGAAAATGAAGTGACAGAACATACCCCTTTACTTAGACCTTTAGCTTCTGTCAGTGCCCAGTCCTTTGGGGCTTTGTCGGAATCCCGCTCACATCAGAACATGACAGAATCTTCAGACTACGAGGAAGACGACAATGAAGATACCGACAGTAGTGATGCAGAAAATGAAATTAATGAACATGATGTGGTGGTCCAGTTGCAGCCTAATGGTGAACGGGATTACAACATAGCAAATACTGTTTGACTTTCAGAAGAAGATTGGTTCATTTCCCTTTAAAATGTTTAGGTATATACTGTAATTCGATTTTTTTGGCTCCCTTCAAAGATTTCTGTAGAAATAACATTTTTTAGTATTCTGTAATCAAATTACTGAAACAGGACTTTTGATCTGGTATTTATCATCTGCAAGAGTGTACTTCATTCACTAATAGACTGGTGCTGTAACTCAAGCACCAACTCAGCTCTTCTTTCAGAATGCAAGTATAGCCAAAACATTAAAAAAAAAAAAAAAAATCCTCAGTATAGCTCGCAATTAAGACCTAGATCACAGTATTTAAGTGCTTTGCATTTTACACATGAGGTCAGTGCTACAGCCACCTAGCATGAAGTAACCCAGCTTCCATCTCCATAAAGTTACCTAGAGTTGAGTTGGAGTATGTTCTGGCATTTACCCAACCTGCCATCATTAGTGAGAGGCAACAAGTTAATTCAGCGCCTTTCCTCCTGTCAGCACAAAGAAACCCAAAGCTGTCTTTTCCCTTTCTGTTCCAAAGCAGTCTTATCCTGACAGGAGTAGTCTATACTAGTGCAGATTTCAAGTTTTTTTTTTTTTTAACATTTTAATTACCATAGTGTTATGTAGAGATTTCATTCAGCAGCTAAAGTAATGTCTCTGAACTTTACTTACTAAATTTCCGTATCCTTAAGGGTTTTGTTATCAAAGCAAAAAAGAAAATGCTGCATAAAAATACCAAACTTCAGCAACTGTTAATACTCAGATCATATACCTCTTAATAAATAGCATCTTATGCTAATTAGCCCTGCTAAACTATGTACAGAGGAAACTGTTCAAGTATTGGATTTGAAAGTAAATGACTTAAGTTTAACAGAACTAATGATATATTGAAACAATGTATTATGAAAAGCTAAATTATACATCATTGTAACTATGTAGAAAATGTAGACTAATGTATAATCAAAATGCTAAGAATTTTTATATGGCCTTGTATGAGGGGAGTTTGAATGTTAATAAACATGTTTTCCACTTTAAGATCCAGTAAATGTTTGTTCAACAATATTACCATATTAGACACACACACCCACACACACACACCCCCACCCCTATAAAGGGATAATGACTGGCTGAGATAAAAAAAAAAAAAATCACATCACCTTAGAATTTTATACAAGGTAGCTGACCACTCACCTGCAGTTAGGTAATCTCCCAAAAAGTTTACTCTGCTGCCCAAATTATTCCAAAAATAAACAGTGTACATTTTGGTACCCTGTTGTAAATTATGTTGTATCAAGGGAAATTTTCACTTTCTAAATTGCCTTTTAAAAAATTTTCATAATCAGGAAAAAAACATAGGTATTTTTACTTTGGAAAATAAATGGTTGAATTCAACATCAACTGATATCAGTATTATAACCAGCTCCCCAGTTTTATTGATGATATCAGTTGATGTTGAATTTAACCATTTAATTTTCCAAAGTAGAAATTATACCTCATCATTTCTACTAATATGCTACCTCATCATTTCTACTGATAGGATACTGATACCTCATCCCTCTTCCCTTTTTTATAAAAAAAAAAAAAAATCAATCACCACAGACCTGAGAAACAGGACATCAAAGGTTAGTTACAACCATGGTAGTTAAGTAGAGTTTGGAATTTGAGGTAACTGTATGGCTCTAACCTTTTTAAACCTGGTTGGTCATTTGCAAAATTTTCATTTAACAAGTTAGGGTCACGGACAAAACATTGAGTTCAGTATCTGGCACATAAATGCACAGTAAGTAACAGCCTTCAAAATAATTGTCAAATAATAAAAACTTCAAACCTAAAACAATATTTTAAAATAGGAAAAGGGAAACGAAAGTCACAGTAATGGGTAACTACGTATTTCCCTGTCTTTACTCCAAAGTTTAGAACAAGGACCTGGTTCCTTTATGTTAGGAGTTTTTATGGAAAAAATTTTTTTTTGAAATTCTGAATTATTACTTTTAGTTGTTCCCAAAAGCATTGGCAACAAAAGCCAAAATAGACAAATGGGATCTAATTAAACTCCAGAGCTTCTGTACAGCAAAAGAAACAATCATTAGAGTGAACTGGCAACCAACAGAATGGGAAAAAATTTTTGCAATCTACTCACCTGACAAAGGGCTAATATCCAGAATCTGCAAAGAACTAAAACAGATTTACAAGAAAAAAACAAACCCATTCAAAATTGGGCAAAGGACATGAACACTTTTCAAAAGAAGACATTTATGCAGCCAACAAACATATGAAAAAAGGCTCATCACTGGTCATTAGAGAAATGCAAATCAAAATCACATTAAGGTACCATCTCACCCCAGTTGGAATGGCAATCATTAAAAAATCTGGAAACAACATACTGGAGAGGATGTGGAGAAATAGGAACACTTTTACACTGTTGGTGGGAGTGTAAATTAGTGCGACCATTGTGAAATAGTGTGGCAATTCCTCCAGGACCTAGAAATAGAAATTCCATTTGACCCAGCAATCCCATTACTGGGTATATACCCAAAGAATTATAAATCATTCTATTATAAAGACACATGCACATGTATGTTCACTGCGGCACTGTTTACAAGAGCAAAGACCTGGAACCAAACCAAATGCCCACTGAATGATAGACTGGACAAGGAAAATGTGGCACGTGTACACCATGGAATACTATGCAGCCATAAGAAACGATGAGTTCATGTCCTTTGTAGGGAAATGTATGAATCTGGAAACCATCATTCTCAGCGAACTGACACAAGAACAGGAAATCAGACACTGCGTGTTCTCACTCATAGGCGGGTGAACAGTGAGAACACATGGACACAGGGAGGGAATCATCACCCACTGGGGTCTGTTGGGGGGAATAGGGGAGGGACAGCGGGGGATAGGGAGGTTGAGGAGTGGTAACATGGGGAGAAATGCCAGATATAGGTGATGGGGGGATGGAAGCAGCAAACCACATTGCCATATATGTACCTATACAACAATCCTGCATGTTCTGCACATGTACCCCAGAATCTAAAGTGCAATAAAATAATATATATATGTATATATATATATATATATATATATGAAAATCTATGAAGTGTCTCGTTTAGCAGCACTGGCTAGGACTGTTGCTAGTTCTCTTAATGTTCACCTGAAATGTTCTGTAATTTCATGGTACAGCATTTAGAATAGGACAGTATGTACAGTTAAATTCCAATTTCAATTTAAAAAACAAATTTAAAATTTTCTTGATTACAAAAGTAACATTAAAACAGTATAAGTCAAAATACAGTCACATGGAAACGTTCATTCCAGAGATATACTGCCTTCAGAAATACATATGTAAAACACATGCATATTAATACTGTATGTATATGAAATATCATGACATGTTTGTATCATATTAACATTCATTGGTAAGCATTCTCATGTCATTCTTCAATGACTTTTGTCCTACAGACATAAAATCATTTATTCAAACGATACCCCTTAAAAAGCTAAACCTTGTAGATGTTTTCCAAGTCTGATAACGTAATGCAGTGTGTGATGGAATTCTGGTATACGAATTTGTGTAGCTTCATTTCCATATGCTAAATTCCTAGAACTAAGTACAAAGCAAAGCACACATGTATATATTTCCATATTTTTCCAAGGAAATTGTGGGTAGAGGGTCAATGAGTAGTTTCATCATAGACTATTTTAATGATACAGTCACCCTTTACCACCTTCCACTCCACTACCTCCTCTTTGAACATACACACACTGCCTCCCCACCTACTTACAGATCAATTCATTAAGAGTTTCAGAAGTTTGGTCACTGGTTTCTATAATTAGTTTCCCTAACAGTTCTTTACAAGTGAGAATGTGTATTACTGTAAAATCTCAAATCACAACTCAATCACCAAATTTTCATTTACCCAATCTTTTGGCCTAACAGGTCAAGAAACTGATTACCAGGTTTTTATTACAGTTTTGCAATTTCTAGGTTATGTCCAACTACCAAAAAAGCCCCAAATCCTTTATCTTCCATACTTTTACATCCCTATATATACAACCATATTCACAGCCAATGCCCAACTAGTCGAAGAAAAAAATTTTCATTATACATAGTATATTTTAAGACAGAGATGAATTCCTATTCCTTACCCATTGTTTCTCAAAAGGCAGTATATACACCACTAAAAATGAATCAGAATGACCCAGTCAGTGATTGTTTCTGAAAAGGGATTTCCTGGGCTTACGGAATCTCCGTCTCCAGGGTGGAAACCCAAAGTCCACAATCTGCATTATAACCAGCTCCACAGTTTTATTGAGACCCACTAACTTTTCAGCACCCCTGGCTCTTCTAAGCGTCTGTTTGGCAGTTGCTGGTTAGTAATGATTTATCTAAACAGCCATAAATGTACATACTTACTAAAGTTCAATACATATCAGGGATTTTATGGGCTCTGAGATTAAACCTATAATATAGCCATGGTCAACATGTCACTACAAAGCCAAAAAATGCAAAAGCACCCCAATTATCTTATATGGTGCCTAAGGAATGTCTTCTGCTCTTATGTGGGAGGGCCCCAGCTGGCTGACTTCAGTCTGCCAACACAGCCTCCAAATCTAAAGTCATATGACATTTCAACACAGAAAAATCCAAAACAGTGCAGAAACCCTTCTTGGTACTCCCTTTATTGTTTATTAGATAGATTTCACATCTAGAAACCAGCAACAAGAGGAAAACACTTATTTTTCTAGCAAATAAGTCAAGTCTCTCATATATGTCTGAAGATGAGCCTAAAATAACTAAAAGTTACATGTAACATCAAAAAGAAATTCTGAGGCACTTATTTTATCTGTAACATTATTTGAAGTAAGCCATCAGCTGAATGCTGTTAAAAGTTTTATGTCTGCAGCAGACTTTGGCCTATTCTGTGTATTCCCACTGTGTCAAAAATCAACTTTTAACATAAGCCAAAAATGTATATAAACAACAGGAGTCTAGAGTATTTGGTTGGAATAAATTTATTTCATCTGTCTGTAAACAAGGTGTTTAATAGTTATGGCATTTTTTTAAATGCATATTAAATCAGATGAGTTAGACTGTATCCCAGATGTAACAAAGTGCAGGGAAAGAAATGGACAAATCAGCAACAAGATTTGTTTTTAAATCTGTACATTATCCACAAGGCCCAAACAATAGAAGCAAACACTAGAATGTCCCTAAAGTAGTGCCATTCGAAAGAAACCCTTAATAGGTCAGTTAAAATCCATCTCACAATAGCAACAGTTCATTTTAACAATAGTATGGCACAGAATACATATGAAAAAAATTCATCACAAGACAGCCAAGTCCACAATAATGCAACTTCATATAAAAACTCAAGCTGCAAATAAAAATTGGTCCTATGAAGAACAAACTGGACACACTCCAGACGGTTATGTTGGGATACCTAATGTCCATAATGGCAGCCTTTTACAATTTTACTAAAGAGTAGAGCTGGTGTGCAAAGAAAAAGACAGGAACAAAAGTCTGAGCTATTGCAATGATGGAATGTCCCTGGGGATTCAATCAGTATGGTTACTGTAAGGTCATGGGAGGAAGTGCTTTTTGCTCTTGTTTTGCCATTGCACTCTTCATATGTCCTGTAGACACTATGAATAAAGGTTCGTCTCTACTCAAGTGCAACAATACTAAAAGCAACTACTGCAGCTCTCAATAGCTCATCAACAAAAGGGATATTAATTGGTTAAAAAAAAAACAAAACAGGCACTGCATAAAAAAAGATGGAAGCAAACCAAATGCCTGTGGGCAAAGGGTGGGGAGGAGGGGCGGGGGGAAAAAGAGAAGAGTGAAGGAAAGATGCATGCACTTTTTCCTCCCAACCATGCGCTACAAAAGGAAGACTAAATGAGCCAAGTAAATGCTCAAAGTGCTGAAAAGACATTGATCAGAGATTGTACAACTGGCACCTTGCTTAATATTAACTTATTTTAGTAATCAATATCCCATTAATTGCTAAGACAAAGTGATGCCCAACTTGGCATGC